CCCCAAAACCCCAAAACCCCAAAACCCCAAAACCCCAAAACCCCATAACAATCTGATAACATTGAAATCAGATCGGAGCTTCAGACCGACATAAAATATCTTCATTTGAAATTATAAAGCACAACGTTAAAAGTACCGGGCATCTCAGAATTCTGAGAAAATGCCAGGACTAAGTTTAGAGGCTGCTTGAACCCAAAGAATCTCAGAAGAGAGGCTCCTTGAAACCTGCATTACTTGTATTGTTAAGTTCTTCATCGGATCCAAAAGTGAGGCAAAAATATTGGTTTCCCTCATCTTTCTCAAAGAGGGATTCTGGAGTTATATAATCTGACGAACTTGAAACATAGCTAGAGGCATTAAACTCTTCACGCCAGAGTTCATCTAACCAATGGTTGTTGCTTTCTGACGGGATTCCTTTCACAACAGACATCTGGTCATTGGATCGGGAACAATTATGTGTACGATCAGATCTTCTTTTATTGCAATTATTTGCCTGATCATCAACCAGTTTCAATACCTCATCAACCTCATGCTCGTAATCTATTGGCTTATCTAGATTCAAAAGGCCTAATTCTTCTTTCTGATCTGCTCATAAAAGAGGTTGGATTTCTTTCTCTTCAGCTACCTTAATTTTATTCTTTCCCTTACGGAATTTCCTTGATTTCTTCTGATTCAACATTCTGAGGTAGCTAAAGAATGCTCCAAAGTACTCTTCAGAGCCTGGCTTAGCATTGTTGCTAAGCTTCACAATTATGCGAGAATACTTCTTGAACAGCTTCTTCTTATCAAAGCCCCATTTATAGATCTGGGTGGTACCCAGATTCAAATAGTCCTTTCAAAATTGAACTGTTTTTCTACTCCACGAAGGATCTTGCATAAATTGTTGTTCTAAAAACAAAACTTCTGACTCGGTCTTGCTTCTGATAAACCGTGATTTATTCATCGCATACCGATCAGACAGCTTATCACTAGAGGGCTGCACAACAGTCCTAGAGAAGTTCTCTGAAGCACTGTCAGGATTCTTACTAAAGTGTATATGGACATTCATAACAATAAATTTTATCTGACGATTCCTTAATAATTCTTCTTAAATATTTCAGGACCCTTCATGCACTTAGGGGTTTTGGGGTTTTGGGGTTTTGGGGTTTTGGGGTTTTGGGG